TTTTAAGCAGAGATTGGATGTGGCCCTTAGTGCCATGATATAGTAATTGGAGTTGGATCAGGGGTTGGACTTGATGATCTTGGAGGTCTTTTCCAACCCAATCTATTCTATGATTCTATGATTCTATGCACCCTCCCTGAGTCAGGGCAAAAATGAAGTGCCCTTTCCCAAGGAGAGGAAAACAACCCAATTCATCACCTCTCCCCCCCCAGTCTTCTGAGGGCTCAGTCTGGAATGTGGCTCTGCTAACTGGTTCCTTTGTGTGTGCCATCCACCCCAGGCAAACACCTTCCCCTTCCCTTGTTCAACATCTTTCTTTTACAGTGATGCAGGCGAAAGGAAAAAAATTCCCCCTTGAACAAGTAAACCTATGAAATTCATTCAAATGAAAATCACACAAAGACAACCAACCACAAAGATACACATCTATGGAAAAAATAAATGATCAAAGTCTCAGAATGGTACACTGCAACTTGGAAGGTTGTTGTGTTGGTTTGACCTTGGCTGAATGCCAGGTGTCCACCCAAACCACACAACACCCCCTCCAGAGGGAAAGGGGAGAAAAAAAAACAAACGTAAAACTGAAAGTCACTAAGAAAAAGGCAGTTTACACAGAGAAGGAAAACAAAGAACTAAAAGCAAAAAAACCAACAGTAAATTTTACTTCCCTACAAGAAGTGGAGTGTTCCCTCCTCCAAGAAACAACTGTCCACCTGGCCAGCTATCCCAGAAGAAGATGCAGTGAACTGCTTCCTCCTCGGTCTCTATATCTGAGCTGACGTAACATGGTATGGAATATCTCCTTGGTCAATATGAATCAGGTGACCTAGCCTATGTTACCTCCCTGGAAAAGGAAGTGTTATTTGGCTAAACAAACTCACTGAAGTTGTATGACTAGAAAAGTTTTACACCTCATACTGGACAAGCAGATCAGTTTCAGTTTATCTAACAACACTGTGCCAAAAGGCCTAACAAACTTTTTGACTGTAGTAACAGAACAGCTGTGATTAGCAGCAGGAAAGCAATATTGAATTTGGAAATTTGTAATACTTCCTAACACTGAGGATAATCTCCACAGAGACATATGCAGAACTAATACTTAATAATTAATAAAATCACAAAAACAAAATTTTATCAAGGAAACAGCATATTAACTATTGTATTTTTTTCTCAAGTATATCAAAAGATGAACAGGTGAAAGAACACCATTAGGTAAACAGACTCTTGCTGTTGTGAACTGTGTTTATTTAAGAAGGGAATTAAGACAAATTCGAAGCTAAAATAATATGGAAGATTGTTTATATGTGTACTGCTGCTGCTTTTGAAACTTACTAGTGAAATTCTTTATTGGTTTGAACTTTCTTTTCTGGTACAATTTTTACTTGAATTTGTAATTTTGTTTCATAAGTTGCTTTTATTCATTTATACACTGTCCCACACCCTCAGTGGTACTTCATCATTTGATGGGCTGAGCTCTAAAATCAAACTGCATGATCATTCTGGTAACACAAGAACTTGTGAATACCTGATGGCAAAGCAGCAGGTTTAAGACATACCAGAAGAAATACATTTTCACAGAATGTATAAAAGAATTGAGTAACAGATTAGCACTAGAAGTTATAAAGGTATAAAAAGGGTAAGAGGCTTTAAAAGTAGATTCATGGAGGTTACTGCCATTTGTGGCAGTTAAGAAACATGGTATAGATATGATGTGGAGTTCAAGAAATCTTTTAACGCACAGCTTCTGGAAACTCATACAGTATATCCATGGAAAAGTAATGTTTTGGCAATCAAAAGTTTATGTACCACTTCTGGGAGACAAGACAGTGAGAAGACTTTTGGTCTGATATGGAATGCTCCTTATTCATGTTAAACAGAATTCACAGTTTTTATAAACAGAGAAAAAAATGCATCCATTGTTGCTGAAATGAAAAGTTGAGATTGTACTTTTACAGTGGAACAAAATTTACTCACATCAGTCTCTCATTTTAATGAGACACGAGTGTTTTACTGAGGATGAGTTATGAGGAAGACCCAAACTCCTCCCTCTAAGCAATTGTAAATCCGAAATAGGGACA